CTAAGGTCAGAGAGAGAGGGTGTGGGGAAGAAATTGGTGGCTAATCCCTTGATCATTTTCAGAAGAAACATCCGGAAAGGGCATGAGGGAGACACTTCAGTGAGCTTCCCCTCCTCTTTCTCCAACTCTCCTGGGTCCTGCCTGGGTCGTCCCAGAAGCCTCAATACCCAGGGCAAGTTTGGGAAGCCCCCGTGCCATCCTTGTCTAGCTGTCCCACAAACACTCTTCGGTCAGGGAGGACACAGCCCTTAACCTAGAGTTGCTTTTGGAGGATGTGGATTCACTTCCTACACGGTCCCATCCCCATTCTCCCCGTGCGAGCTGGTGGCAGCGGCCGGCATCCTCATGGAGGCCCCAGAGGGGAGGCTCAGATGCAGTCATCCAAGCGCTCATCCCAGCGCAAGGGCCCTGGGGGGCGCCTTCCCGAGGCAGCCCTTCCGTCTCGGCCACTGACGCCGCAGGACGGTTCTGGCCAATTGGAGCCCCGGGGGCGCGGCTCCCCGCGGATCACCGGGCCTCTGGGTCCTCGCAGGCGCCGCCGGCAGCCGCTGTCACAGCGCGCTCGCCCACGCCCTTCCTGCAGTGGGCGGCTAATGGCAACTCGCTCACGCGGCCCTGGAGAGCCCGCGCTGCCCACCACTTCCTCCTGCTTCCCGGCCCGCGGCGAGTTCTGCCCAGACTCCCCGGCAGGATGCTTCCCGCAGTCCTCCAGTCCCGGGAGACTCTGGCTGCAGCCCCCGCCCTGCTGCCCGGACTGTGGGCGCTGGGGCCAGGGCTGGGGGGCATGGGAGGCCCCCACAGACCACAGTAAGGCCCGCTGGCGAGGCTAACCACTCAGGACTCTCCCGGCTGCCCCTCACCCCCCGCGCCCCCGGAATTGGGATCCAAGATCTGATAAATCCTCTAGGTATCTCGGTTTCCTCACGTGTTTAGAAAAAACCAAAAAACCTCATAAGATGGCTTTTAGGAAGATTATGGATGTAATAGGTCCAACAAAGTAGTTACTCTACAAGCTCCCTGCTTTCGTGAACCAGAATTTGTGTCCAGAGCTAAAAGTCAGTGGGGGTCAGAAGCCAGGGCCCTGCCTAAGCTGCGAAAACCATCACACTCCTGGAGGCCACATGAGAACAGGGACTGTCCCTGTGCTGAGGGAGTATGACATCACAGTTCCAGTGAGAGGGACTGATTGATAGCATAGAAGTCATCCTAACAATGGTGTCACACACACATAACTCTGTCAGCTCCAAGTGGGCTCATTTGAGAAAACAATCTTTTTGGTAGTGTGGGCTACAAAGATATGGCTCATCTTGTTTTCCTACACTGTTCTCTGACAGTGCTCCTCTTCCCCAGCTTTAACACTGACAAATAGCCCAGCCCAACATGGGGCTCTGTTCACAAGCTGGGGAAGGCTTGTGTAATAGAGCCACGTCAGTACTAAACCAGCTGGAAAAGGCACCATTAGTCGATAAACAGACAGCAAAGTCATTTCTCTATTGATCGCCAGACACAGGAATCATATTGAAGAATGGATTCCAGCAGCACAGATTTGACAGGTGTCTCATATGAGGGTTCCTTCCAAAGAGAAAATGGGGAAGGGAAAAGAGGGCAGTTGTATACTAGGTCCCTCTGAGGAGAGCATGTGGGTGGAATCATGTATAAGTAAGGATTTAAACAAACAGAATGCATCACTATGGAAACATTTGGCTTTTTCAAAGGCACCGTTAAGAAAAATAAAATAATCAAGACTTCAGATTTAATATCACAAGTGTTTATGACCAGAAAAGGCAAAGTGGGTCTTAGATATTCTGCAGCCAAGTAAAAGCTGCCAGAACTCAAGGAAGAAATATTCCCAGCAGGGCAGGAACCCATCATTTGTCAGGACTTTCTCTGAAACCCTCCAAATGGAGCATTCTGCTATTGCAGGGCCTACTTAACTCTTTTGTGGTTGCCATGACACAATTCGGGACACGGTGCCAGTTACTGAACAGGTCTAGACAGGTCCGCCACGCACTAGGGCAGGGTCATGTCAGCCATGGAGGCAGTAGGGAATGGGTGCCACAAGGAAATGGCAGGTTTATTAGCTGTGATCCAAACTTGTTAGGAATCATTGTCACCTGAACTGGTGGTTTAGTCAACCATGGACTAATATGGACCTTAATGTCAATACTGGGTATACAATCTGATGCTATAGTGTCACACTGTCCCAACCCATACTTTGAGGCAAGCTGCCTGTTGTCAAGACATTTTTGGTGTGGAGCCTGATATCTCCTTCTTTGGGCTCACTGCTGACTGGAATAGTGGTAAGCACTGTGAAGAGACCTGATAAGGAGGGGAGAAGGGACCACAGGGGAAAAACTCATCTACCTCTGAAAGTTTAAAGGTCCACCTGCTTGGATACGGTCGGGAAACACTTGCCAGGAAGTCACTTGCCAGAAAGATTGGCTAAGAATTTACCTAACTCACTAGAAAATGGATTCTGTCCCCCCAAAATGAGCTTCCCCAGTGAAATGGCCAATTCCTAGTCCAGCTGGCAGCATAGTTTCTGACTAGGAGATGCTAATGTTGATTAGGGAGAGATGAGATGCAGAGACTTGCTCTGATGCACAAAAAAGCCAGGGGACAATCAGGTAGCCTGTAGTCAGTAGTGGCCAGCTCTGCAGAAGCAAGTCCTGAGGCTCAGGCTCTAGGGATGCACAGCAGACCATTCCACCTAAACTTAGCACAGCAGAGGAAAAAGCACACAGGCTTAGTGATTAGCCTGTGGTTTGATTTCTGGTTCTGCCACTACAAGTCCTGTTAAATTACTTAACTTCTTGGAGACTCAGTTTCCTAGTCTCTATAATAGGAAGAGTAGCTCTTGCAGGGATGTGGGGAGGATTAGGAATTATGCATAAAACCTCCTAGGAGGGCTGGCTGGTTAGCTCAGTTGGTTAGAGCATGGTTTTTTAACACCAAAGTCAAGGTTTCAGATCCCCGTGCTGGCCAGTCACCAAAAAAAAAAAAAAAAAAAAACTCCTAGGACAGTGGCAGGCTGCTAAAGCTCAAAAACAGGGCAGTGAAAAAAACTAAACCTGTTTTTCTTCATGCTACAGCTGTTATATTTGCTTCCTGTGCTTTATATGTAATGTTAGTAAAAACAGTTTCACCCCTATTTCCTAGTTAAGATCTATCACAAGTAAAACATAGCAACAGGTAGTCACTGAGCATAGCTGTCCTTTGCCATGATCTGGAATTCCTGTCCATCCCTTAACCCTGAAGTTTTACTCTACGGCAAGTACCTACTTGACATTTCAGAAGGGACATTATCTTAGTGGTAGAACAAAAATGTCAGTTCTGGCATATGGTGTCTATAATGACAGCAAGAACCAAAACTTAAGATTTGCTGCTCCCTGACAGAGAAACCCAGGTGGGGGCCCAACCCGTCTGCTGTATACTGGGAATTCATTTCCCTGACAGACATGGGTGTGATAAGGGAAAAGATCAAATGCACAGCTGATGCCAGGGGAGATCATGACCCTACATTAGGAGGGAGGAATGCTGGAAGATGGAACCATCTGCCAGTTCTTTCATTTGTAAGCAACAGAAAAGCAATTTCCCAGTGTCATGCATCAAACTCATAACCAAAGCTGGCTATACCACCCTCGACAGGTTTTGTTTGCTTTAATAGGAGAATAGCTAGGAATTAATTGATGTTTTATTTTATTTTTATGGTGATTTGTACCTCGCTCACAGGAAGGCTTAGTATGATGCTCAAATTTTATAAAGCATTTAGTATTTCTTAGAGAAAGGAGCTCTACTCATGTTAAAAAAAAAAAAAATAGGAATACAATGCAAGGAGCCAGAGAGCTTGTCAGAGAACAGAGCCTGGCCAGGCGTGGCATTACATCTAAGCTCTGAGTAAGAGCTTGTCCGGCCTTGGGCACTGTACCATGATCATGAGGATCATCAATCTTACAGCATGGAATGGAAACAGGATAAAAAACAAGAAGGCTCTGTAAATTTTCCCCACAGGCAGATAGAGAAATTCTAACTCTCTGGCCTTATTTCCATCCATTTACATTCATTTTCTTTCTTTCAGGTTTTCCATATCTGTTTGGAGTTAATCTGGCACACTAATCTTGGGTCAAGAGATCAAGAAGACACACGTTTTTACGATGCAATCAGGGGCAGCCACTCTGTTCTGGGAGCCTTGGTGACATCACAGACTAACCCCTGTACCTCAGGAACTTGTATGTAAGAGAACACTGAGTCAGAAGGGAGCCTTAGTCATAGGGCTACTGAAATCTAAGGTAAAGAGAACTATTAGGTCATTGAGTCTATTCCCTAAAGGATTGCTCCCGCTTCTTTCTGCTTGGGTTTAAATGAGTCAAGTAATTCTCTAGGGGGAACTAATCCATGTGGAACAGCTGTCATTAGCAGGCACTTGCTGCTCTCCGGCCTCAATTTCAGTCTGGTACTTCTCATTTCTCTTGTATAACAAGTAGTCCAGGTGATTGCTAGAAGGTGTTTGGACTAGAGCATATGCCTTCACTCTTTATTTGGAGGCCCGTAAGCTGTCTGTGTCCAGGAAGATTGACAGGCAAGTAGACTCATGCTTAAATAGAATACTCCCTGAATATGCAGCTTCCTATTATTACAGTAGCATAAAAGCCAAGATGTTAAGGAGTCAAGGCAGACTTCAACAAAGCCCCGTGACTCCACCTTTGTTTGGGTTTCAGCAGCTGTCTGCCTACGGAAGGCTCGAGTCACTGACGCACATTTATATCTCCACTTCACTAAAGTCACAAGGAACAAACATGTGCAGATTTTCCCCAGAGGCAGTCCATTCACATTTCTTCAAATGGGGGGGATGGTCAGTAAAAGGAAGGGGAAAAGAACTGCTTATGGATGAAATCATTGTGAGCATGGCCACAGCAGTTTTTAACTTGCCTAAAGATAATATGTGATTTTGAGATGTGATTAGGGAGAACTGTTCCCACACTAGACATATTACCAACACAAACTGCTGGCTCTCATTTAATGGGACTCCAAACTGGGGAACAAATCCTATGATCTTCCAAACAGCCACACCAGGAGATCAGCTGAGCCAGCCTCTTGAGGTTTCTCCTCGGGGGAGGTTTGCTCAGTCTCTGTGCAGCTTCTCTCTCAAAGACCTCCCATCACCAGGATGCTCCTCTAGGGTCTGGATAAACTGTCCGAAAGGTTAGGTTTACTCTCGGTTCTCTAGAGTGGTATTCTTTGGGCACTCGATGCTAAATGGAAATAAAAATAACTCTCTGGCATAAACACACACAAACACATTTTGAGTTCAAAGCAATTTAAAACTTATTTATAAGGATATAGAAATATTTCCATTTTATCCCCCCTGAAATGAGCAGAGATAAGTTCTTTAAAGTCTTGTGGAGAAAGGTCTCCTTTTCTGAAATACTTGTAACTTCCATCCCCACCCCCACTGCACTATGCCAGCACCCTTGCGGTGAGATATTTTCATCTTCTTTAATTGTTGTTCTTCCTTTCAGACTCCTGCCATTTTTACAAATCTCATGAGAAAAACATAAATGGATGAGACCAAAGAGAGGCCTGAGATTCCATTCTCATGCTATGTGTTTTTACATGAGTATGCACACCTTAAAAATGATCTGGCCTAAAAACATCCTGGCCTAGCTGTGGAGCTGTAATGTTCAGTATGATACCCACAAGCTACCTGAAGCTATTAAAATTTAAATTAATTAAAATTAAATGTAAAATTCAGTTCTTTAGCACACAAGCCACATTCTAGAGGTCAGTCACATGTGGTTAGTAGCTGTCACATGGGGCAGCACAGATACAGAATATTTCCATCATCATAAAACGTTCTACTGGACACTGCTGCAGCAGAGATCCATTTTGATTGTCAGTAGTATCAAAATTCGTTGGAAATGTCACTTTGTTACCTCTTGCTCATTTTAAAAGCACCTTGCTTTTCACTACATTTACTTAGAAATTAGTAATCCTCAGCCAGCCAGGAAACTGCCTCCCCATGAGAGTGAATCCACATTACCCACACGTCCTCACCTGCCAGTCAGCTTGTGCAGCTCCTTCCATGATTAGCAAGGTTCCGTGATCCAAGGGTATCTTCACTTTTTCCACATATGTGTAGTCTCCATTCTCTTCCTAGAAAACAGCATTCACTGCACTGAATGTTGTGCTTGTGTCATCAAGATGCATCCAAACCCAGAGTGGTCAAAGAAATGGAAACCTCTGTTCCTCGGCCAGATTGTGCGGGTTCATATACTGGCTCTGTTCACTGGCAGCTGTTTGGCCTTGGGCAAGTTATTTTACTCTTCTGTACCCTGATTTACTCATCTGTAAAATGGGGATGATGACAGTATCTGGCACACAGGGCTGTTGTGAGCCTCAATTGATATAATATGTGTAAACCACTTGGAGACTGATACACAGCAAGTATGGTATAAGTGCTAGTTATTACTATTAACATTTTCCTCATTCGAAATGCAGAAAAGCCTATGAAGGAATTAAAAGTCACTCTTGACACACATGGATTGTACATATTTATGGGGTACAGTTATATTTCAATACATGTATACAATGTGTGAAGATCAAATCAGGGTAATTAGCATATTCATCGCCACAAAATTTTTTCATTTGTGATGAGAACATTTGAGCTTCTCTCTTCTAGTCACTTGAGAACATACAATAAATTATTAATTATAGATGCCTAGCACTACCGTACAACACTAGAACTTATTTTTCCTATCCAGCTGTAATTTTGTGTCCATTAACCAACCTCCCCCAGCCCCCTCCTCCCTCCCCTTCCCAGCCTCTAGGAACCAAATTCTACTCTGTAAAAGTCACTTACACAATTCTTTACATCTACCTTATGCTGTGTTCTATGTCTTGACATAGCCAGTGAGGAGAAAAATGGCTTTTTAACCAACACTTGATGTTATGAGTTCTGCTTTACCTTTTCACAATTTATGCTAATTTACTAATTGGTACCTCTGTTAGAACAAGTCACAACCATTCCCATAGCTACTTTGGTGATTTGGAGATAAATTTCTGTCTCTTTCCAGACCAGACAATAGCAAGATTTTCTCTAAGGGAGTTCTGGCTTGACCAGAACAGTGTTGCCACACTGTGACTGGCTGTTTAGGGCCACAGAATGGATCACAACTCCTGAACACTGAGAATACAAACGCCTTGTATTTATACTGCCACTTTCTTTCAGAGAGCTCAAAATCAATTTATGCCCAATATTGTCATAAGTCTTCACAGCACAGCCTGCGAAACAATCAACAGGGGGTGTTACTCCTCCTTCACAGTTGATAAAGGGGTACATTAAACAAAGTTCTTGCTCGTAACAACAACGAGAATGTCAAGAGCTGAGATTGGGACAGACCTGAACTTCCTGATTTCTTCACTTTATTCTGGGCTGATATGATGGTGGGCCCATCCATTCATTTGCTTCACCTCTGATGCAAGGGGTTACATTTGGGTTGCTGCAGGATTGTTTTCAGTGCAATACTGTGTTTATGTTTATTATAGTAGCGATGCTTCTGGGAACTTAACTGTTTACAATGATTTCCCCAAGAAAATCAAAATCAAAACAATAATGAACTTGCATAAACAGTCTAATTTCCAGGCTCTAACCCTTGGCCTGACTTTGTCAAGCACAGTCATAATTTTTACAGGCAGAAGATAGAAGCAATATTTGAAATAACTTTTGGTTTCAGTGATTGATTTTAATTGTCTGCCATCTTTTCTCTTCCAGTAATTAGTAAGCAACAAAAGATTTACTTTTAACCCCTCAGCCTACCAGAGAGCAGCAGGAAGATGACCCTGCCCCCGGATGGCCCAGCTGCATCTCAGAAAAGCAAAAGGTTGCTCTCTGAAAAAAATATGCTAGATAGAGGAGATGTATGTCCTACTGGAGAAAAGATATCAGAAGGGGGTGCATCGTCCATGAGATTAGAGGGTCCAAGGCTCCTTAATTTAAGCTGCAAAGTCAGTTACCAGGTCATGGTTCAATATAGCTAGAAGCAAAAGAATTTCTGCTATCCTCTACATGATCAGGAAGTACAACATGGCCTTAATCTATTAATCAAACACAGACATTAGGACAGGAGTGAAAAGAAGCAGAGAGGAAAGACACTGAACCACAACATGAGGACAATTCTGAGATGAAGATCGATCTCCTAGTACTTTAAAAACATTATTGGGGAGGAGATGTATTAGTCCCTTTGCTTATAACAAAGTACCTGAAACTGGTTGATTTATAAAGAAAAACAACATTTACTGCTTACAGTTTCTGAGGCTGGGAAGTCCAAAACCCATCTGGTGGTGATGACAGCGACCCAGGGGTCTCACATTGCAAGATGGTGGAAGCAGAGAGAGCAGAACGAGCAAGAGAGACATACTCTCTTCTTTTAAACCCCTCAGAACCATGCCCCTGACCACCATTTTTAATCCATTACCTACTGCACAGTCCTACAATCTAATCACCTCTTCAAGGCTCCACCTTTCAATTACCATAATAGGATTTCCCACCCTCTTAACAGTTACAGTGGAGGCTAACTTTCTAATACATAGAACTTCGGGGACACAATTCGAGCTCCAGTGAGCTTTGGGCAGACATAATTCAATCCACTACAGGAGGGGATGCTAAAGCTACTGGCAGAGAAGAAATGAGCACTGTAATTTCACTTGGAAACATGAAGCAGGAATGTACCTCACAAATGAAAGAGAATTCATTCCAAACGCAAGAGGGAAATATCAGCACTCATGAAAAGTTATGTTCAACAGATGCACATTTCACTTACTATTCCTAAGATCTAAATTTTTCAAATGACAGAAAGCCTCAGGTTAGTTTTAAACACCCAACATAACCACTTAGCCATACCAAAAAGCAGAAGAAGGTGGGCCTTCACTTGGGAGGGAGTCACTTGAGTCAGTCCACAAAGAAGACAGCTATACATAGGGCATCCATTGTGAGGGATGATGTCATTACTTTTCTGCTTGTTATTTATTCCTTCCAACACCCTTGGCTTAAAAAGTGCATTCCTAATTTGCAGAAGGAGATAGACAGGAAAGAAGGCAAGGGATCCTACCAATGCAACACAGAACTCACAAATGCATCCTTCTTCTCTTGAGGCCAGACTGGCAACAGACCATAGTGCCACCCTTTAACTTAATCAAGATGCATGGAGACTTTTTCCACTTAGGAAGCAGATAACAGGCCAGAGGAGCTCACATGGTTGTGAATAAAGACTCAAGTTGATAAATGGATAACAACACTGGAAGCCTGGGTCAGACTGTTTAAAGGAGTGCATTCACAGTCATTAAGCATGGTTAAGTTACCAAAACATGTCTCTGTAACCCTTTTGATTTACTCAGGACTTACTTCAAAACAAAACAAAACACATACCCCCCAAAAAACCATGGCTTAGGATAAAAATTTCCATCCCTGGTTCCAGTTTAAAAAGTTTTTCAGGTCACAATCAGTCTAAAGGGTAGGTTTTGTTGTTGATGTTCTTGATTTTTCACACACTTTGAAACCTTACAAGTAGATGAAAAGACAAATATATATATATATATTTACATATTTCTTAATATATGAATGCTGGTCAATATTCTTACTCCCTCTCCAACCTTAGCCAATCAATCTTCTTTAATCTTATCATCCAGAGTTCACACAACATACACATACACACAGAGAGAATATTCTATATATACAATTGTGCACTCTACATTTTTAACATTATATTGTGAGCATTTTTCTATATCTTTAAATATACAATATTTCAAAAAATATGGTTATATAATATTTCTTCATATGAACATATCCTTCTTTCCTTAATCTCACAAATGCTTTTTGACCACCTGTATATGTCAGGCACTCTGCCAGTGCTAAGGATATAGCAGCAGTAAGGAATACATTTTTGGAGATTGAGATTTTAATATACCAGTATTATTTTCAAAAATGAAAGAAAAGGCTAGTGCAAGCTGATGTTGGGCAAAACATTTCTGAACATATTTCTAGGATATATTCTTAAAAAATGGAATTAGTGGGTCCAAGTGTATGAACTCTAAGGCACTTGATTTTTATCACCTGCTTACTGTCTTGAGAAAGCTGCACCAATTTATAATTCCGTCAGGAAAATATGACAGTACCTATCTTCTGGCTGAACACTATCAATTGACAATGATAGAAAAAAATTACGGAGAAATGGTAGCTTATTCAAACTCAGAGTTCTTTGATTACTAGCCAGTTTAACATTTTTGCACATGTCTATTGCTGTCTATATTTCTTCTGTTGTGAACTCTCCATTCATGTCCTTGGTCCACTGTTCTATGGGGGTGTTAATGCTTATCTTGTTGATCTGTAACCATAGATAATAAGATACTTACCCTTTGTCTCTCATACTTTTTGCAAATATTTTTCTCATTTGCTATTTGCCTTTTAACTGTTCATGATATTTAACACAGAATAGCTCAAAAATTTTTAGAGTCAACCCTGCTGACCTTTCTCTGGCTCTCCTTCATGGTTTTTATGCTTAGGAAGTCTTTTCCCATCCTGAGAAAAGTTAAATGTACAACCACATTTCCTTTTAGTTTTAAAAAAAGTTTACATTTTTTTAGATTCAATTCTTTAACCTACCTGGAGTTTTGGGTTTCCCCCTATCCCCAATGCTTCTTTTTTATAACAATCCAGGTACTTAAACCAAGGTATCCCACTAGACTTTTTGGACAGGATCAACTACAGAGTATACTCAGATGCCAGACATGTTAGGTACGACCTCTACATTACTGCTAATCCTCACTACAACCCCATAAGGGAAGTAAGGGAGGTAATATTACCCATTTTATCATAAATAAAGAGAGCTGGAGGGAAAGTATTTGCCTAAGACAAAAGGCTGCAGGAGGCAGGACTAGCATGTGAATGTAGCTCTGCCTGGCTCCAAAGCCTATATTCCTTCCACTATACTGTACTCTCCAAAGTAAGCTCTACTCCTTCTGAAATCCTGTAATATTTCTTGTCCTAATTCTATGGCACCTTGACTATACTGCTGGGGTCAAAAACACCAGCAAATAGGGCCGGCCCGGTGGTGCACTGCTACAGTGCGCCACTTGGGAAGCGTGGTGGCGCTCCCGCC